TATTGATGCAAAACACTACAGTACAATCACAACATAGGTTTATTGGAATCAAAGCAAAAATATAAAATATTACTGTAAGCTACATCCATGGATATTGTAGTCTAATTGGTTCATGCTCCACGCTAATTGGTGACAATTAATCTCGTTATCTTGAAACTTTCATGATTTACTGTAAACGGAAGATTGTGTCTGTTTCCATACAACTATGCATTAAGAGTAATGCAACAGTTACTTATCATTTTGAGCAGTTGTATCAGTTGATAGTTAGATCATTGTAAGGAAATGAATAGACTCTCATTTGAAATGTAATGTGTGAATTGCCTTTTGAAATAGTAGTACTGTGATGTTAAGTTGTGTCATATTGAACAGGTGATTTTTGTTGAATGAACAAATGATCTAAGTTGTATGCGTATTGTATACAAGCAATTGAGAAAAGGGTTAGAGTTTTGAAAAAAATGTGCATATTGATCATTTGTTGTGAGTTTTGTGTCTAGAGTTGTGAAAAATGACATCAAGGTTCTGAAAATAGTAACAAAGTGATTGTAAAAAACTAAGTAACTGTTGCATTACTCTTAAATGCATAGTTGTATGGAAACACACACACAATCTTCCATGTTTACAGTAAATCATGAAAGTTTCAAGAACGAGATTCATTGTCACCAATTAGCGTGGAGCTTGAACCAATTAGACTACAATATCCATGGATGTAGCCTACAGTAATGTAATATTTTATATTTTTGCTTTGAATCCAATAAACCTATGTTGTGATTGTACTGTAGTGTTTTGCATCAATATATTACACACTTTGTTCAATGATTCCACTATGTGTGTATTCTCTCTACGACTGCAGTGCTTTTACAGAGATGTATTTACTGTACATGTAGTACCATAATGAAACCTGGATCACCTATTTTGTTCTACAATATTTAACGATTGTACGAACAATGACAGTGAAACTATCGGTTGCTTGTGTGTGGGTGATCTATAGTTATGTTTCAATGGTATTTCACAGTAAATTTGTTTTTTGAACCAATGATTGTGCAAGTGCAAGATTTCTTTAAAGATGTGAACGCACAATGCAATGTTTTGAACATTAGACAGCCTGTGTTACAAGTGATAACCGTTTTGAGTTTTGTGTCTAGAGTTTTGAAAAATGACATCACGGTTCTGAAAACAGCAAAGTGATTGTAAAAAACTGTAACATGAAAATATCTTTTTCTTTAATGAATAGGTTGTGCAAAAACAAGCCAAACACTCTACATATTAATATTGAAAATATTTATTTTTATAGTCTACTTTAAAAGAAGAATTACTCAGTAGAAAAGCAGCAAGCACTAAACTGTGTACATTCCCTTAGAGATAAAAACACACTCCACACAACGTGTAACTAATTATATATCAGTATTAAAATATCATCATGTGAGGTTTTGTGTGATAAGCGTGAGTCAGCCTGAACCCCTCACAGTTGCACATCATTCATAATGACATAGATTACACAGTTTGATAAAGACAACGTTGCATTGGTAAGAGAAGATACTCAAACAAGATGATATCAAACACTTTCTCAGGCTAGCACACAGAAAACACTCACAACTTTGATGAATGATACTTAACTTCTCTCTCAGGGCCGGCGCTAGCCATTTGGGTGCCCTAAGCACAAATGCTTGGTGGAACCATCAATAACCATCATACAAAAATATTGCACACATTAGTCTTTTATATAGGCCTATGTGTCACTGGAACATTTAAAATTCAAAACTCTATTTTACCTTTAAAAGAGGTCTGATGAGGCACAATATAATAATTCTGTACATAATTTGTAGGGCTGGGAAAAGATTAATCGCGATTAATCGCATCCAAAATAAAAGTTTGTGTCTACATGAATGATATATGTGTGTGTACTGTGTATACTTATTTTGTATATATATAAATACACATTTGCATGTATGTATTTAAGAAATATTTTTTATTTATATATAAAATATTTAAATTTATATATAATATAAATTATATATAAATATATACAGTATATACACATGCAAATATTTCTTAAATATATACGTGCATATGTGTGTGTATTTATATATACAAAATAATTATACACAGTACACACACATATATCATGTAGACACAAACTTTTATTTTGGATGCGATTAATCTTTTCCCAGCCCTAATAATTTGACAACTCTGTGAATATGAAAATATACAAACACTGAGATTGTGGGGTTTTTTTTTCTTCTAATGGCTGTTTCACCAACAGATGTCGCCCTTGGGCCTTGGCCTATGAACCTCTTGAAAATGAACGCATTATCCGCATAGAACAACAACGAAAAAACGTATCCATCCGGTCTTCCTTTTCTTCTCAAACAAACTAACTGCATCTTAAATAGCCCAAGTTTCAAAATTTCCCGGGGGAGAAACCCCCGGACCCCCGTTAAAATAAAAGATTCAACATGCAGGGCTAAAAAAGCCCCGGATCATTTGCACTACTAGCGACGCCCCCTGGACATGCATTCACGACGCAAGGGCGCCCGCGCTACAAAACTAACATTTTTATGTAAAACATTGTCTTACCTGCAAGCGACGCGGGAGTATCATCCCGCTGTCTCTTCTTTTTCCTTTTTTCCACCCCCGACTCTTGGTGCCTTTTCGAGGCCATGTCTGAGGTCGGAGTCTGCCAAATTTGACATTGATTGAGGCATAATCGAACAGACCACTGGGAGGTGGGGAAGGGGGGGCACCAGAGGGAGACTGGCACAGGAGATTCACCTTTTTCTCGACTAATTTGGTCTAGGCCTATATTACTTTTGTATTGTATATTAACATGCTTTAGACATATTTTATTTGTTATTTATATAGTAGCCTATTGTGATGATTTTTCACGACCCAGATTTTTTGATGTCCCCCCAAGCACTTGGTGCCCTACGCGCAGTGCGTGATGTGCGTGTGCGGAGCGCCGGCCCTGCAGGTGTGCATGTGTCGAATGTGTCCATCCTGAGCTTTAATGGAAATTGTATGTTGGGTCAATGTTACTCAACTAAAGCCTAGTTCACACTACATTATTTTAAAACGTGCAGCTGAACTGTGCGGTTCACACTACATGTCTTGCTCTCTGTGAAATCAGGAGTGTTCAAGTTGTTGAGCTGTTCACACCACACGACACAACGTGATTGATCCGCAACTGGAGGTAACGCACTACACGAGTTGACAACATCTGTCACCCAACGATTCTATCTAGTCTACAAAGTCACGAAAAATCACGCGATAAAACGAACCGGAAATGACGCGAAACAGCACGCGCGCAAATACCCAGCTAAGAAGACGAAGAAGAACACAACATGATGTTTTATTAACAAAGTTCGGGAGGAGCACGTTCAGATAATTAAACCTAATTAAACACACGTGGAGCACATTCAGATAATCAAACCTAATTAGACAAGAGTGGTGCTTAATCAACGAGTTAAGCGCTGTGTATATATACAGCAAACTAACCTCCGTTCATTGACAGTTTAACAGCATCCCTCCACCACCCCATCTCCTCACTTATAGTCCTAATACTCTTACAACAACGGGGGGAGTACTCTGGGTTCGGGCAAAATTCCGAGCTCAGAGCCCTCCCCCCGGACAGCACGCCAAATACGCATAATCTTTACTCTGTTTAATTGATGTAAGTGTGAACTCGTGAAACGCTAATATGGACGCCAGACAGAAACTAGTGCTGCAAACTGTTTGCGCGATGATTTGCTCTGAGAAAAAAACGCAAAAAAAGAAAAAATAAGATTTACCCAGTGACCTCAACCCATGCCTTGCTCTGATTGGCTGTAGCTCATGACATCACGTGAGGTTGAGTGCGACAGCTCTGGATATCTAGCATGCTAGATATTTTTCTGGGCTCGGCGAGGCGTCTGCGAGGCGTCTTTGATGCGTTGTTGGTCTTTCATACTAACAGATTGGCGAGCGTTCATCGCCCGCTAATCCCCCGTGATTTGCACGCGATAACACCCTCAAGCTCAACGATTTGCAAATCGGGCTTAAAATCATGTAGTGTGAACTAGGCTTAAGTTAAAACAGCATTCCCTGTTTTTGTTACATAAAGAATTAGTTTACAACAACAAAATTAGAATTAATAGGTAGAATCAGCTAGAAATACTTCCTTAAAGCAATGACTGCACACGTTAACTTTTTACAGTGTAAGAAAATATGCTATTTTCACATTTAGTTTAAATAGCATCTATCAATATTTGTACTTAGTGCAAATATAGCCACTGCCTCATTACATATAGTTTAAATTAATCCAGTTTGCTCTCTTTTGCCCTTGTCATGGGCCAATATTTATTCACTTAAGACACATTTTGTTATTTTCCTCCAGCTCTGAATCTATCAGTTTAGCAATAGTGTGCCCTGTTGCTGATATGATGTGTTTAAATGATCTTTGGTTATTATCTCTTAATCTTCATCAGAGAAGTATATTACAAACTCTTTATATGTCACACGATTGAATGCTCACTCAAATCCTGAGTGGACCAGGACATTTTAAAGCCAGTGTCGTGACACCAAGTGTTAATATTTTCTTCTTTATTAGGCTCCACTTTTGACAATTCTTGTGTAAGACTTCCTTGTGTAACTTCTTTTCGTTATGTTATATGTGTACATCATGGACTAGGCCTTGGACACACTTATACTCTCGCACGCAAACGGGAACTCAATAAACGCACATACATTTAAACATTTAACCGTTGTTATTATATTTCTTAATATGCTATATATGGTAGGGTTGATCTTTGAGTGCTATGATTGGATGGTCTGGACATCATGGATAATTCTGCTTTATCTTGTGTATAAATATGGCCCCTCTTCCTAAATAAACTTGAGAATGTTATGGTGTTACACTGTCTCTGTGTCTGCTTGATCATTCTCCCGAGATCTGATACACATCACAGATGTTAAAGAGCCTGTTTCCAACTGATGACTGCTAGCTTCGAGATCTGTAGATAATCTACCTGAAGATTCATCTAACCCCAAGATTAAGCCTGACTGCATTCGCTAGGACTTTGTGAAGGTGCATCGTAATACAGGCCGGAGGTTTACTATCCCGGACTATAGACTGCAACCTGTGTGAGTATAAGTTACCATGAGCTCATTTAATATTTTTGTTACATGTAATTTTTTTGGGAAAAAGATGGTCAAAGCATTGAGAAATACGTATAAAAAAGCATCATACATTGAGAATGTGTTTTTTTTTTTGGGGGCACATTTATTTTCTGGGGTTTGTAAAACTTTAGAATATTTCTGAGCAAGTATAAGATATACAAGAAATGTGTCTTGGTTCAGATGGAAAACAAAGTACAGTCAAAAGCACTAAACTGCTTTATGAGTCAAATGTCAGTAAAGGTGTTTTGATGTGTGTGTTGTTCAGCAGGTCATGGAGATTCATCAGTCTGCTGTGATTCTGCTGCTGGTCTTGTGTGTGTCGTTCTCCACTCATGCTCAACCAGACCATATAAAGCCCCGGTATCAAAAATTCCTCACTCAGCATTTCGGTCCTGATATGAGTGAGCAGAAGTGTACAAGTGAAATGAGAAAGAGAGGCATTACAGGAGCTGACGATGGCTGCAAACCTGTCAACACCTTCATACAAGCAAATTCAAATAATATTAAAGCAGTTTGTGGCAGAGGAGGAACTCCACAGGGCGGTAACCTGTTTAAGAGCAACCAGCCTTTTCCTGTGATCACCTGCAAATTACAAAGTGGGGAGAGACCCCCAAGATGTGAATATCGTACAGGGAAGAAGTCGACTCGTTATGTTGTGTTGGGCTGTGCAGAAGGCTGGCCTGTACATTATGAAGAAGGCATAACTGATGCAAAGAAGATAGGCTGACAAAAACCTTACAGAGCTTTATTTGCCAAACATTTGTTGACTCTCCTTTTCCATCCTTTTTGTTAGAACTTCACTGTCTCTCATTTCACAAGTCTGTTTTTACCTTAAATAAGCATAATGCTAAAAATAAATTTGTTATTTCTTTACATTGGTGTTATACAGTATCCTGCACTTCTTCGAGCATGTTTCTGTGTGTAAGATCATGTGCAAGATTCAGCTAGTCTAATGAAATGTTAAAGGGAGACTCCACCCAAAAATGAAAATTCTGTCATCATTTACTCACCCTCAAGTTGTTGCAAACCTGTATGACTTTCTTTCTTCTGCTGAACACAAAGGAAGATATTTTGAAGAACGATTGGAACTTTGGCACCATTGACTTGTATTTATTTTTTATACTATGGAAGTCAATGGTGCCAAACAACTGTTTGGTTCCAATCGTTCTTTAAAATATCTTCCTTTGTGTTCAGCAGAAGAAAGAAACTCATACAGGTTTGCAACAACTTGAGGGCGAGTAATTGATGGTCTTTAAGCACTTTGTTAACACTTTTGAGCATTGAAAGAACAATTCGTACGAATTTGTACGAGTGATTAAAAGGTGGCTAATTCGTAAGAATTCATACGACCTCACTCGTACGAATTTGTACGATTTGTCTAAACCCACGTGATGGGTAGATTTAGGGGCGGGGTCAGGGGTAGGTCATTCGTACGAATTCATATGAATTGGGCAACTAGTAAAATATGTACGATTTTGCAAAAAATCGTGAGATCGGGTTGGAAAGAATTACCGAATGAGCAAAATGAGGGAAGAAAGACGCAGTTTTGTGTTTTTCCACCTGTCTGTAATCCTCAATAAAACGTATCTATACCCTTAAACTCGTCTGCTTGATTGACGTGCATCTCAACAGCACCGTTTTAAAGATAAATATCAATTAACTTTTTTTCTCTGTATACTTCATAACATTGGTTCACAGATGTTGCTATTTGCACAAGTCTGTTCCTTTAAAACTTCCTCTTCCACAACCTCCTTCTTTCCTGACACCACAATATTGTGCAGCATTGATTTTCGTAGTCGTCACTGCAACACTTTTGGGTCCAACGATATCTTAACTGACTTCCATAAGGTTCAGAAGATTAAGATCAATATACCAATACATCATGATGAAACATTTACCAAAATAACTTACAAATAAGGGCGATGAAATTCCCGTCAACCAGTTAAATTGGCCAAGGTCATGTTTGTAACTGTCCAGTGTTTAAAGGTCACGTGAGGTTTGGAATTAAAACTTCAGTGATACTGATGGACAACAGTGAATGAAGGAACCAAATGTAATGATTACTTGATGACCACTGGATGGCGCTGTGCACTGGGGTGTTCATGTCATGTGATATGTAAATTCCTTGTGGGTTGTTTTAGTGAAGGAACAGGCGTCAGGAACATATAGTTCTTACAATAGATCCACATGCTTTTAAATTGTAAGCGTTTAAAATATTTTTCCTTATACAGAAACCTGTTTATAAGTAACAAGCCTTTTCCTATGGTCATTTGTAAATTAAATGTGGGGAGAGACACCCAAGATATGAATACAGAGGAATCAGGGACATTAAATATTGTGTCTCATATAGCTTCATACTTTGCTATTGTTTCGATTCGATTGCGTGTCTTTCTTATCTTATGCAGTTGTTTAAACTCTAACGTTCTTTCAAGTGCAAAACATTATTTATTAAAAAATAATAAAAAATAATTTCTTTAAGTTTAACAATGTAATGTTAATGATAGAACAATGTATAATGATATCTTTCAGTGGTGTGCTCTTCTTCGTGCAAGTCTCTGTTAGTGTGCTCACTGCAATTTATGAAACATGTGCTACAAGTATTTGACTTGTAAACTATCAGAATACCTATCAGTTCGCTTGTAGTATAGTTGCAGTACAATCGAAAAACGTAGTTGTAAACTAGTTGTGTAATCAAAAATGCCTACCCTTAAAGGTATAGCGGAGGAATTTCTTTTTATACTATTGGTCCACCTAAGTGTCAATCATTCTGGTGATATGTTTACGTAAGGCCGTCGTACGTGCTCGTCCCTATGTAGTGTTCGCTTTGTGCGCATGCGCACTTTCAGGTGTATTATGTGATGAGTTACGGTTTCAGCCATTCCTTTGAAAATGGCTGAGGGTCGAAAGAGAAAAAATTTATACGAAGTGTATGTGTGATAGAGTGCAATGCTCTGAAGGGATAATACTGGTCTGACTGTTTCCTTTGACAGGGCTCCGGTCAAAGAGAAGGGCACGGAGAACTTATTCCAGCAAACTTTAATTATTGAAGTTTGAGTACAGGCATCGGTGTACAAATAGTTATGTATGTGTGTGTGGTCTATAAAGAAACAAAGAATAAAATAATATTAATCACGATGTACAAAGTATAAAATATGTACAAAATGTATACAGTAATATCCAATATAATAATAAACATTGAATCAGAGTACTAAAAGATATTAATTTGGTCAAATAAGTCAAAAGAGCCATAAACAACTAATATACAGGCATACAAAGAGGTTGATGGGGCAAAGTATGAATACTAAATGGATTCGGTGGTCTTTGCTTCCCTCTAGTGGAAGCGAACGCAACTGCACCCCATGCGCTCAACACGTGAGGGGCTCGTAGCCAGGGAGTGCCGCACCACACTAAGCGCGTCTGAAGACGACACAGCGGCTAAACACGATTTAACTGTAGGACTAAAGGACATAATAACCGAAATATAGCACTCGAGAACACAGCTTGAAGCTGAAATAATGTAAAGGAAACAATCTCCAGTCTAATACATCTTATGACATAATCACAAAATGCCTATTAACTAAAGAAATACACACGAAAGTATCAAACCCATGCATATAAGAGACTTAACAGGAAAACAGATGAAAGTAGACAATATCTAAACAAGTCCGATGGCAATATTTGCATCTTAGTACAGAATGAAACTTACTTTCGCTTAGGTTACGCACACGAGAGCTACCATCCCACAGAATGCGGAGTCGGTAATAAGAAAATGATGCACTCAGAAAGGAAATGACATCACTACAGTTTCAAAATAAAACGACAGGAAATAAAAGACTTTCTGACAGTATGATAAGAAGAGAAAGGCCGCAGAATATTGAAACAAGACCAGAGTGATTTTGGGTGACTATTTCACACGCTGGCGTGCGCTAAAAGCACAGGTTGGGCTTCCCACTGATGCCGCAGTCGCGATGATTCTACTAGACAGGTAAAGTTTGTCATGCTATTTGGAGAAATCCGTTTAAAATCACTGCTAGTAAAAGTTAAAGGCACACTATGCAAGAATTGTACCTTAATATAACAGCTTCAAAGTCGTTTCGGTGGTAAACAAACTCATAGTAGGGCGAATCATCCTGGTGGTAAAGCTTGGGGGGGACGCCGCTGGAAAAACCAGCAATGCAAGTTTGAGAGGAGCGCCCCCGACAAATCTCGCGAGAATCACGACATGCTTTACGGCAACGACGTCACACACATCAACAACAACATATGAAGCACGAAGACACTTGCGCGCATTTCAGACGTGATACTCGACGATGAAAAAAGGAAAGAAAACGCGGTCGGAAGAGATTAGGAAAAGGAAAAGCGAATCTGACCGCGTGAGGAACCGGAAAAAAGTCCCTGATTCGCCCTCGCTATGTGTGTGCGTGTTGTGTGAGTGGGCGTGGCTGATCAGCGCGGCTGATGAGCTGATCAGCGCCAGCTGTTTTGAATGAGGATGTCCTAGATATTGTTTGTTACCTCGTCCTGTCTTTGTCAGATAGTTTTTGAGGCTACCAGGGTTCTACTCGCCGTGTTCTCCTGCATTCCAGTCCTGTACCCATGCAGTGGTTTCCTGAGATTTTCCCGTAGGAATTTCTACCTGTTCCTGCATCTGTGTCTGCCCACTGCGTCCCTGCGTTGCCGAGCCTGAGTCTTCTTCTGCCTGCTTCCATTTTGACCCACACAAAAATCTACTATTGTGCTCCATAAATTACTGTTTACTCGCAACTGAATCCTTTGACTATTTCCTTCAGAGTTGTGACAGTCGCACTCGGTCGGGCTTTCGCCTTTCACTAGACGGCGCGAGCTAAAAAGCAGCTGGATGCAACCGCAATGCTGATCTGGCGATCTTGTTGATGGACTAGTAAATAAATCTCTTATTTCTAAACTTGTTTATGTTCTATGTTGTTGCGCTTGCTTGTATGTAATTTTTTTACGATGCTGTTCATTCATCCATTGTTGATAATTAGACCAGTCTAATAATTTCCACATATGTCTAGCTAGCTATTTACGACAGTGCAATATTCCACAGCGACTATAGGGACTAAAAACACAATTTCTGCATAGTATGCCTTTAATGTAAGCTATGATTAGCAATGCTAGCCTCTTGTGCACACGTTTAATAGGCGTTCCCTCTCGGGAGCAAATAGAGTGTTGCGCATGTGCATTTTTTTAAATATTGGAGAGGGCGGGTCTTCTCTAAAATTCGGAAAGATCCTCCGCTATACCTTTAAAGTAACTGTTAGGTTTTACAATACTTACTACAAAAGTATACTTAAAAATACACTTGAACTTTACTTAAGGATCCTTAATAAAGTGAATATTTTTTGTAAGGGGAGAGTGTGAGGGAGAAATGATTAAACAATTGTTTTTGGCACATAAACTACCAACCCGTTCTCATCTCAGAGTGTCATATAAGGCCGCTTTGTCACGTCGTCCTTCGGCGTTTTCTGCCCACGCATATAGCACCCTTTTACAGATGACTTGCACATGGCTTTCAACCAACTTCAATGTAAAACCATCTGCAATGTAATTATACGCTCAGGGCTTCGCCAGTCATCAATTCACCTCAACATTGACCGACTGCACAGACTAAAGACGTTTTCAGTAACAACAACAACTTATGTTTGCTCTATGATTAGGAGTGCCTACACCTAGTGTAACATAGGAGGTCACTGTTTTCAATTATTAATCTTT